TTATTATTATAACCATTATTTTATTTAGAAACATACTTAAAATCTTTATGTAACTGCATATACTGTAGGTGTTAATTCCCACTCTTTGGGATAAACTTGAAGTCTGTCAACTCTGCTTTTGTTCTGCTACTGAAATATAACATTAGCAATAAACTGGAGGAACAAAAATTATCTGCAAATAATTATAGTAAACAGAGGTGAACACCATTCAGCTGTTTTTTTCCCCTCAACTCCACATAGTCAAACAACTATTCAACCATTGTACGTGTGAAACTACATCAAACTTAGACCTGCATGGAAGAAGGAAATGTGAGAGGGAGGCAGGCCAAAGAAGGCCAAGCAGTGGTACTTACTTCTAATAGTACAACTTAATGCAGTTATTTGCAGCAAATGACTCAACTTGTTAAAAAATGACATGCCATTATGCCTTGTTGAGGCTGAGCGATTCAAACAGTTTACTGAATTAAAGAACGGTCGTAAAAGCATATCGCAAAGAAGACAGATTTTTACAAAATACTGATGTGAGCAGGTGGAAAAGTATGTGTGAAAAGGCTGTGAGCTATGTGTTGTGGCATATTTTTACTTTTCTTAAAATCCATTTAAACTGTTTCATATCCGCATTTTACCAGTGACACGAAATTAGTCTTGATTCCCACCCCGACTAAATAAACATGACAAGCGCAAAAAGGGAGGCCTGACACGATGACATGGTTCTAATAGTAAAAGTGTCTGGCAGCCATTTGAGTAAGTCACTGACAGATTTATTGGCAAAAAGAAGACTCACTGCAGATAACGTTGTGAGTGACATAAGCTTGAGGTGTTTCCGAGAGCAATCCAGCATCATAACTCTCCTCCAAGTGACTTGAAAGGTTGAAAGTGCTCATGCCAGGAAGAAAATGGCATGTGTGAATTTCTAAAGGTCCTGACCATGTCTATGAATGAGATTTAATACTCAGCTCTGTTGACAATTACAGAGATGAAGGTATTGGATTAAAAACACATCTGATAGCATACCTGTCAGATAGTAGTTGGCTAATTAAATATTTGACTAAAGATGCCAAGCACATAAAGACATTTGTCCAAGGAAACAGAAACCAAACGTGCAACAAACTCGTGTAAGAGAAGTGATAAAGCTGACCGTAAAAGACAGTTAAATACTTAAATAGTGTCTAAAAAGACATAACTGTAGATTGGGATACTAAAGATTTATTAAGGAAATGTCTGTAAGAACTCAGACATGATGCAGTTTGAGTTTAAATTCCTGGTTACACACACTTACAGGCTCTGGGATTTGTTCGTTCCCAAGAAAGGAAATACTGACAACTCTGAGCCTGTGTTTGGGAAGAACATGCAGATCTTTTTTGACCCTCACTCTAAATCAGATTTCCATATGGCAGAGGCAGAAGGGGGTCTGAATGAGGCTCACATATATACAGATGTCAGGCTCTAGAAGTTCCACTCCCTTACGCCGTTTCACATGCAGACATGCTATACCTCGGTCCAGTTTTGTCTGGAGTCGATGTGCGAGGACAATAAACCAGAAATGCTGACAAATCATGACATTTGAAAGAGAAGGTCTGCCTGAAGAATTGACTGAACATTTGGTTAAGAGCCATGGAGAGTCATTTAAGAGCAAAATTTACTGTCTGTGAACAGGAACTCGCTCACTAACCAACTGGATCCTAAAGTTGACCTGAAAAATGGCCTGCTCCATCTCAAACTATTCTCTGTGAGAAGCACAAGTTCAACACGTCCTAGTTGATGGCTGTAAAATGCCTTCTTTATAATTTAATAATAGTCCAATAATAGTACTACTCCAATAATAGCTGTTGCAGAACTACATCCTGCGGTTTGAATTGCACAACTCCATAGAAACAGTAAAAGCAGAAGAAAAAAACATTACTTCAGACATAAAAGCAGGAGGTATAGTACAGGCTGAATAATATCCCCAGAGCTCCAATTTTCATATTGACCTCACAGTGTCCCGTGCACGCTAAACTTTCACTGTTGAGAACACTTTAACAGGCATACTTGGGCTTGTAAAATCTAGGTGCCCTGCATGAAAAAGGAAACACAAATTCAAGCTGTGGACTACGCTTCAATGAGTTAAAGTCATGGAGAAGTAAGGAGCGAGGATATGAGCAAAGAGGTGAACACTGTTCATCATCCACCTTTTGACTAGACCTTTCTAGTATTTTTCAATGCAAGGAATTTCAGGCTGGCGCTCAGGAGGACCATGATAGTGTGTTAGCGCATTTCATCTTGTATTGTGTTTTTGGGTGTGAGCTTAGTAGACTCTTCCAGGAGTGCTCCTGGCTTTGTGCTAAGAATGGCTGGAAAAAAAAAACTTCAAAATGACTGTCTGTGTGTAAATTACTCTGACGGGGATCTGTTTACACTTCAACATGAATGGAAGACTTCTGCAGCACACACACCCTTAATCAGTGTGGAACAGAGCGGGAGCCGCTCAGCCCTGTGGGTCCTTCAGGACCACGTGTGTGTACACAAACCGACTACAGTCCATCCCCCGCTTCACTGAAATGCTGCTACCTTGTTCCAAAGCTAAAATTTCTCCTCTGCTGTCTGGCAGACTGTAAAGAGTATTGGGCCATTGTAAATGTACTGTAAAATGACTTCTCTCTCCAGTCTTTAGAAAAACCTCTTTCCTTAACAACCGTGTTATGTTACTGAGGGGGAAAAAAGTGGAAACAACTTTACCCAGGAAAGGTTAGCAGACTCATTTTTATTATAACAGACACATACACATCAGAGAGCTGCTGACTAATTAGGTAATGGATGAAAACAAGTATTTTGTTCATAACCACAGAGTTCCTGCTCTTGCCATATGCCAAGTGTTAACCTATTACATTTCATCTCAAAGATAAGTCAAAAACAAAACAATGCTCAGTGTGATTTAAATCACATTATCAATAACCTTGATATGCTCCTTCAGAAACCAATAACAGGATTAGACATTAAATAATTAAACATCAAACATTAAAGTGATACAATGAAATACTAAAATTAGTGTTTATAACATTACTGACTTTTGCACTTTTTTATACTGACTTCAAAAACTGACATTAAATGTTACGCAGGAAATTACACAATTACATAATTTCCGAAGTGGTTAGAGCGGGAAGAAAAAATGGAAATTAGATCCTCTTGTATTTTGCAATAAATTGCAGGGAATGTGTTACCATATTGATCTATTTGAAAAGATATACCTGGTTAATTTGATGTCAATGATAAAAGGCGTGTATCCAGGATGAAATATAATGTTCATAATGACATGTGGTCAGTATGAAATTGTAATGGGTGACAAGCTTCTAGTTTTGCTATGTATGTACAAGCAGGTAACACTCACTGGTTGGAGAGCAGACAAATTGCTGTTTTCATCCTTCACTTTGAAAATGCAGTAATTCATGACAGTGTTTGTTCATCCTGTTAATTCTAAAGACAGCTGCGTTGTGATTTATGGCCTCCTTTAAAAATCATCTTTTTGATCATTACATCAACTACAGGGTAATTAATTAAAAAATAATGATTAGTTTCAGACCAGTGCAGTCCAATCAGTACAGCCTTTTTTGTCAGCAGGCAGTATGCATGCATTATGTGTGGTTTTTTTTATCTTATCAGTACAACATCACTGATTTCATGTGTTCATACACATAGTAAATACATTTGGGAGGAGATGAGCACGTTCTAGTTTTCAAGTTCATCACCTAATACAGATATACTGAGTGGCCACTTTATTAGGTATACCGAGCTCCTAATAGCCCAGTAAATCCTCCCTACTGGAGGGTTAGAACGGTCTGTTTTTGTTAAAACTGTTTTAGAGAGGTGTTGATTCAACACTATGATAATTTTGGAGGCCATAGTTTGACGCCACTCAATCACATTCTCAATACAACTCAATGGGGAAAGCCCGTAACGGCAAAGATGGCGGTTATCCCACCCCTAGAAAGCCAACTGTCTGCTTCTAACAACCAAAGCAGGAAACATATTTCAGCCAATCGTGTGGTTCCACTTACGTAAGGGTCTGTTTTACTTTTACTGCGCATGCGTGGAAGCTTTTGACATTTCACATTCAAAAGAAGAGGTAAAGTTACAGAACTATGTTGGGCAGCTCCCGTTTATTCACAAGTCCGCTCTGGTTTAATCATTTAATCATTTCTGACACGCCGACTGTAACTAGAGACAAGCAGCTCGCAGATATATTTCAAATACGTTAAACATTATAGTTAACTTCTCATTAACAACGTTAGCGCTCCTCCACTGATAAACACGGTGTAAAACTCTGAGCTCTGTAGACTGCGGTCAGCTGATGTTTTGTTCTGTGGTGCTGCAGTGTTTTGAACAGAGGAGCTGCAGCGCGCCCTCTGGTGGGCAAACTATGCAACAATCATGACCTGAGGGAAGGATCCGACTCTGTTTGTCTTTTTAACAGTCATATATCGGCTGTTATAAATGCCGATGCAGATATATCTGCAAGTAGCGTATATCGGCTGATAATATCTGCAAAATGATAAATCGGTCTGGCTCTAGTACCCATTCATTCAGATAGGAGCCTGGTTTTGTTAGTCTGAAATAGCTGCACGGAGGCGTTACCAAGATGGCTGCCGAGTGGAATGACTTGCCTATAACGACTTTGATTGAACTGAGGTGTTTCTGTTATTTAGGCCACCCTCGCTGGTATATCTTACGTAAGAGTTGGACACAACCACAGAAACACATGTCTTCATGAAGAATTATATGAATCTTCATGAAGGTAGGATTTACTCCAGGGATATTGTATTAGACTGCATCAGATTTTAGCTAGGTGTACCTAATAAACTGGCATATGAATGTATTTCTATAAGACAAACTCCTGTAGAGCACTTACAGCAGCTGTACATACATGGAGGAGGTGGTGCCAAATACCAATTACTTACATGAAATTCTAAAACAGAGATTTATATTTAAATAATTTGAATGAAAAATATAACAGCTAGACTCACCGTTGATGAAAAGCTCTTCTTGCATTGCTTGTCTGGCAGCAGGAGAGAAGCAGCGTTTCTTCAGCCACTCTGCGTCAAACACACTAGTGTGCTGGTCGGGCCATACAACGGACACCTGTGTAGAGACAAAAAGCTTACTGATCCCAAAATGGCCAAATGGTTTAGCTCTTTTTCCATGTTTCCACCTCAATGTTTTGTTGTTATAAGCCATTAACTAAAAGTGCACTGCCTCTCTTTCAAGTAAACGGTAAGTGACAACCCTCTTTATTGACAGGATGATAATGTGCTCAAAATATTAACTAGGTGTTCTGTTTTCATAATAGTTCACTTGTTTCTAGCAAGAAGATTGGTCTGCTACTTGGAGGTTAAGCTTTGGAAGGGGCTCTTTTGGTTCATAAAACTGAGAAATAAATGCATAAAAACAAAATCTAAAATGGAGGATTTCCTTTTAATATCTGCTTTTTTAATACTTGTGGGAGCTTTTGGTCCATGTCATCTATTCTTTCTATAGCCAGAGGAGGTAAGAATTGAACCATAATTGTAGTACTTAAAACACATGTTTACTATAATAGGCTACCTAGTAAATCTTTATACAAGAAATAGAAAACACTGGAAATGTTTTGCATTTGATTTTTATCCACAAAAGCAAATGGCACCCAGTTGTTTGGCAGTACTGTCACGTCAAAGCAATCCGTTTATAGTTTATAGCAGGGGCCGAATCCTCTGAAGGACACAGTTCACAAAGGTGGTTCCTTTGGAGGACTTAAAGGTCAGGCTGAATGTGTGCTTCTGACAAAATAACATTGTCCTACCTCACAGTTTATCACCAGACAGCAGTTGTAAATAACATTCATAAACTAGAACAAGTTTCACAATACTTGATGATAAGCAAAAAACGCCCACTAACTTTAAAACGTTGTAGGGTAGAACAGCATTATTGAAATATCATATTGTAATTGGTTATATGATTGTTTTACTGCAAAAGTTTAACAGGTTTTAGTTTTTACAAAGATTAAAAGTAAGTGAAAGTGAAACTTTATGAACCCAAAATGTGTATTATTACCATCCAGTTGAATTGTAAAACTGTGTTAATGTGTGTAATCACAACTACAGTACTTAATGATGAACCAAGATGTAGGCTCAGTAAAATTTATTGTACATTTACACATCCAGTTTGGGTAATAATTTTTTCTTTTTCTCTCAAAATTACAACATTCATACTGAGTGTGTGAACTCCGACAAACACTGAGTCAGAAAATAGCAGCAGCCTACCTTGTTGTCATTGGTGACCTCTACAACGTCAACTCCTGTGTGGATATCAAGATCCGACATCAACAGTTTGCGGGCCTGGGCCGACTCCAGGGTACACAGTGGACACTGGCAGTTGTCTCTCAGCCAGGTGAATGGGTACAGACTGTGGCCTCCATCCTCCCACTCCACCTCCATCAGCCTCTCCTCATCCAGAGTACGGACATGCCTCACTGAGTGGCAAGCCAGAGGGAGGGAGGCTGACCCCAGTGTCTGCTGCTCACGAAGCTGCATTGAAGTCAGGTAAGAGGGTAGTGGACCTGCAGCCTGCCCTGGTCTACGACAAGCCCTCAGAGCCTGGCAGGCCATGGCAGAGCTCCTCTGCAGGGCAGGTAAGGTAAAACGTGCAAATGTACTCAGCCACATTTCTGAATGGTTCCCTCCAGGCAACTATGTCTCCAGGTCAGAAAGGACCACCAACTCTGTAGTTATTGAGAGAGGGAAGCAATAAAATGAATAATAGAGAATCATACACTGCTGCCTTTCATTAATTTGCTTAATTTTAAAAATAAAGCAGGGATGGATAATAAACCAAATTTATCAAGTTACCAATTAACAGTCTCCTGCCAAGCTAAATTGTAATAAATTAAACAAAATTGTAAAATAAACCATTTATATCAGTGTATAATGAGCCAATATGAGGAAGGTAAAATAATGGACTGATTGAATTTGTGAGAAAAATCAGGTTAGCTATACTTGTTTTTGAATAATGCCAAGCTCATCGGACACAGTTCACAATGTGAGCTTTTTCCCAAGGGGCTTTGGAAATTGTGACTGGTCACTGTGCCAACCAGAGGTAGTAGTTTCTAAGCCTGGTCTGCTAGCTGTGTGTAGGTAGGATCTGGGCAAAGCCGAAGTGCAAAATGGCAGCATTATTTTGAAAGACACAATACAAAGTGTGCAGTGTTCCAAAACCCTGCACCCGTGTGCAGTTTAATTCATCACTCCTTGTCAGAAATATTAGTAGCCTCAAGATATGTAAACTACAGCTGTAAATTCAGCTATTTCCATAATTGGATTAATCAGCTGATTATTTTCTCAATTCACTGATTGATGGTTTGGTCAACCAAAAAAAAGTCACAATCACAAATCACTAGAGCCCAAAGTAATGTTATCAAATGTCTTATTTCATTTTGACCCACAGTCCAAAAGATATTCAATTTACTATAATGTTAAGGCAAGGAAAAGCATAAAATTGTCACATTTAAGAACCTGGACCTGTCAAATATTTGGCTTTTACGTACAAAGGATGAATCATTTAGCAAGAGATTTGCCAATTAGTCGATTGACAGAAAATTAATCATTGCAGCACTTGTGAATTCCACCATTCCAACAATAGTTGATTTGTTATGTTGTTGATATGATTTTGTCAGTGTGACCATTTCTTTGTGTTGTTCTAAGGACAAGGTTTTTTGTGTAGCCATTTAAATCCAATACAAGTGCTTGTTTGTTTACTTGTTTGCATATATTTCAGGGTAGGTGTAGCAGCCGCCTGCACTATCTCTTCAGAACTGTTTAATTTCCCTGCAGCACAGTTTTTTAAACTGTGACATCACTACCAGCGGGTGAATTTGAGTTTGATTAGCCCCCAGCACAACATACAGCCAAGCATTTGTGAAGCAACGATAAAAAGAAAAAAGGGTGTGAACAAAAGCCACCCTTCAAGTTAACTTCCGTTGAAGATAAAACAGCTTAACTGCTAAATACACGTTTAGCCGTTAGCTTTGAAGAAGCAGCTAAACCGTTTGTTAGCTTGGTAACGTTAGTTAAAAGTAAACGCATCCCTCTCTTCCAGTTTACATTCTCGCTTCAAATACAAAACTAACACAAAGGCTAATCAGTCGACCTTCTTTCACAGCTGGGTTTTTTATCGGTTTGCTTTAAAAATTTATGTATGAAAGTGCCGTGAAAAGACTTTACCATTAACAAACCTGTAGTGTTTTGCCGACAGTTCCTCTTCCCACGAGCGTTGCCTCCGTCAACACAAACGCCGGCTACCAGTGACAGAGAAAGTAGGTGAAAGGTTGGCCGGGAGGCTACAGCATGACATAACCACTGTAAGCAAGCATGGACGTTGATCTGCTTTTCAGTCCCAACTGATAACTGAGTCCTAAGCCAAACAGTAGTTATAAAACACATAATTGTTAGCAGTAGCCGCACCCTATATGTCCAGGAAGAGATCATCTCAAGCTTTGGGGGATTTGTAGGATTTGTAACATTAATATTAATAACAACAACACAGCCATGCTAAAACCCTGTGGGACTGTAGGCACAGCGGTGATTTGAGCTAAATAATAACACAAGTTCAGCTAACATGCTCACAGTTGCAGGTATCTTTCCCATGATGTTCACTTTAGTTTAGCCTTGTAGCATGCTAACATTTGCTAATAAATAGCCCTCAAAACAAGGTGCAGCTGAGCAAACCCTGACAGAGAGTTACTTAAAAGTGGCTCTAGATGAAAATGCATCACCAAAATCGTACATTTATCCTCTATGGATATCTGTAGTATAATGACCGCTAAACAATGACAAATATTAGACCACAGCCCCCTGTTCACATAAGATTTTGTCGGAAGGGTCCCCATCTTATAGGATTTTTGCTTTTAGAATCAGAAACAGCTTTATTGCGAGGTATTTATTTTATTAATTTTCTTTATTGACTTATATAAATATAAAGTTAAAAAATTGACATATTGAAGATATAAAAAATATAAAGGAATCATAAAGAATGTGTAAGAATATGTTTGTGCAGCGATATGCAAAATATTTACAGTATGTATTGTAAAGGGATGGGGTTATGAGGAGAGCGTCTGGAGCTGTTTGTGTCTGGGGTGGGAGGCCTACAGGTCCTAGAGGGGTGGAAGATTGATTGGTATGTTTGATTAGTTTAGATAGGTAGATGTTTTATTACAGAAAGTGTATGAAACCCATGACCAATAGTAATTGTGTTACTTATGGATGGAATTATAGTGAAAATAAATAATTCCCCTTTTTGCTGGGGACCCCCTGGAACCCCCTTGAACCCCCTTCCCGGACCCCACTTTGAGAACCACTACTGTATCGGACAGCTCAATATGGTATGATTACAGAGTTGGTTGTGTGAGACTTCAAAATATTATATGCATTAACAGTATAACACTATATCCATTAACTTTGGGTATAATACCATTGAACAACACTTTGAACTTTGACTGACGTGAAGTCAGATATCTGAGTTTTCAGAAAAGTCAGACATGAACACTATGTAGTGAGAAACAAAAAATTTAGATAATTCTGACATGAGCACTGCAAGATTACATGCTGTTCATTGTTAGACATCCAATAAACATTTTCATTTTGATGCAAAACATGTCAACCTTATGGTGGCATTAGAGGAAAAATCAAGGGATCACCAATGTTAGTAGGATTCATCCTCTGGGGAGCATGAATGTCAGGACAAAATTTCATGGCAATCCATCCAATGTTATTTCTCAATTGCCCTACAGGTGTGTGTGTACAGAAATGAGCATGCTGCACTATAGCTGAATCAGTCATAATTTTCTGACATTTGTCAAATGACTGGTCAAGAAACTCTTTCACACATTAATCAATAATAAAAGTAATGTAAGTGATGAGTTGTACCTCTTTCAGTTTCTACTTCTTTTGCAGGTTCAAGGAAGATGACCAGTTCCCAGTGATGTGCAGTACAGTATTGAATTCAAATAACAGTCTGCTAGCATCTGAGTTCAGATTTAAAAAGCTTCCTTTTGCAATTATTAACCCAGGATCATATACGGTCACTATGACAGATCTGAGTTTCAAAGGGTAAGTGATGGTTACAACTCAGTCACCTTTGCAACTGACGTCAGTGCCCATGTTTTACCAACAATAACGGACTTTGTGGTATCGGTTCAAGCGTACAGTCAGCCTGCACAGAGCATTCAAAACAATCAATTGATATATTCTGACCATTTACAAATAATATATTTGTAAAGATATATTATGAAAGAGTGAGAGAATATGTCCACATCTATAACTACATACATTAACATGAATGTATACAGTATATTATGCATTTATGTATTCGTTTCAAAAGCTGAAAGAGAAATACAGTGTAGAGCCATTTATTTCCACTAAGAATGTTGGTTTAAGCACAAGTCTCATGATGGCTGTACTGTTTAAGATGTATGTTACATGTAAGTTTTTTCCTCTAGATGATGGACATCAGTTGGCACTTTTCAACACAGTATGAAGTTGTGGATATTTCCATCCATCCATCCATTGTCAACCGCTTATCCTGCGTACAGAGTCGCGGGGTTGTGGATATTTCTCACATTTTAATTCCTTTGACTCAAAGCCTCACACGATTTACTCAATCTAGACGACCAAAAGGCTTAAGTATCAAAAAAAATCTTTTCAGCATGCCGGATGCAGAATACAGGAAAAAACATGTTGTTTGTGAGGCCCACCACTCAAAATACATCAACCCAATTTCCTTACATGTCTGTTCCTCATAAATACCAACAACCAGCTTCTTCCTTCACTCACAGGAGGGCACTGCCTGTATGTATAATTCACAGCAGACCTAAAAACCTTCTAAAGAAAACATCGAGGGGAGCTCTGTAATTTTAAAGCACATGGCAATACAGTATGCAGTCTTAATGATTTTAGTGCTACTGTCGCATTATAGGGCCTGCTAAATACAAAAACCAGGGACCTCCTGGATGTTGCTCGATGGGGATTCCATGCAATGTAAGGAATGGTTTATCCATTCTATTTATTTTTGTTGACATTTGCAGCACTTGCATTTTATCTTTTTTATTTTCTCTTACTGTGTTTAGTGTTATGCACCAAAATACAAAGGAAAATTTTGTGTATATGAAAACCTAAATTGCATTATACCTAAAAATGATCATTTTTGTCATAAAACCACCATCAAGACTACACTTCAAACACAAACTCTTTATTTGACAAGACACAACACAATCCGTTAAAATCTGTTGTTACACAGATTAATGTCTGATATTAAAGTCAAACACTGAAGTCCATGAGTGCTGCCTGCAGTCTTACATCTCACCACATTCCTTAAAAGTAAACAATAATAGATATTTGCTGCTCTATTTCAAAACTTTATTTAAACAATGAATACATATTAAGGTGTTCTGTAATAAAGATATAGGCACTCACAGTATTAACTTACTTCTAATTATACACATTTACATGATTATGCTGCCTGTGCAAAACAGCACAGTAAAGGCCTTGCATTTTAAACCATGTCACAACCTTTAGCACCGGGACAGTAAAGAATTGTGCAATGTCTGCTAGCCTATAAAGCAAAAAATACAACAGATAGGTTTCCATATGTAAACATTCTTTGATGAAGAGCAACAATAGTGGTTGCTCATGTTAGGAGCTTTCTGCCAGGCTACTACACGAGGTCCACTCTGTGATCTTATCCAAAACTCAACTTTTGGGGTCAAAATGAAACCAAAGACATAGTATTAACTAATGAATATGGACACTGACACGTAAGCTTTCCACGGTGTCCAAAATTCACTCTGTTTTTCTCTCACAGAGGACTGAATGAGATGACATCTGACGACTTATGCTTTAAAAACTGACAGCTCCCCTTCTCACTTTTTTTAATTGGCTGACTCAAGTTTGAAGCCGTCGTTTACACATACACACACCCACACATACACAAACCTGTGACAGTGTACAGGTAAATTCAATGCACAAACCAAAAGTAACCATATAGAGACATTTTTGGTGTATGTATTGCTGGACAGATAATTCTAATTCAGGCCATAAATTATTTATTGGAAAATCTAAGTTATTTTGTATTTTGCTATTTTGTAAATATAGTCATGTAACCACAATTGTGTGTTTTACTGTGTGTAATGCTTGACTATTACAGTGGTCTGTAGAAGTGGGCAATATGACAATTTACACAGTCAGATGATATATAGGATATGATTATCTTGAGTTTTGCCAAATCGGTTATGGTAGTTATCTTTTTAATATCTCTGATGTACTGTAAATCACTGAGCAGGACCATGTTATGGCAATATTGGATTTTTAAATCATCTTTTGCATCAATATGATGAAGTACTTTGATTTGTTAGGCATTTAATTGGCTGGATCAGCCAAACAGACATTCCTTTCTGAATTGGCTTTTTTCAGAAAATGCATCACAATACTACCATGTATCATGACATATGTGAAGAGGATATTCATATTGTCCAAGTATGATTGTTGGTGTCAGATACAGTCCAACAGACTTTATCAAATTTCAAAGCACCACATTTTCTTACTTCACTAGTAGTGCCTCACCATGGTGATCGTTATGGTTTTAAATGCCCACTTTTTAAAATATCCCTCTCACAGATTTCTGCCATGAATGCAGTGGAAGTAAATGGAACAGTCTGTGTTTCTTGTAGCATTTCATTGAGCACAATATAAATTAAATGTATCTGTAAGGTCTTAAAAGATTTAAAAACATGGTCCCTCTACAAAAGAGGACCATGAGATCTGGTAGTAATGCAGGACCATCATAGTTGATATTGTACTTTAATAGTGTAAATTTGCAAATAACCAAATTACCAAAGCAAACTTTTATGTCTTATAGCAGTTGTGAGCAACTGAGACAGATTTTCCTTCCAAACTGCTCAGGTCTGTTTTATTTGATTAATTTTCAGCAACAACAAAAAGGTGAATTGTCAAGTATTTAAAGAAAAAAAGCAAAGATGAGAGACAAGTCTCATGTGACCTCAGTTTATACAGTAGCCTATCTTTTGACCCACTGGAGGGATCTGACCCAGAAGTTGGTATCCATTGCGTATTGCTCTAGAGTTAAAGAAAATGTGTTTTACTAACTTAATTTTAGCTTTGGTAGCCTATTATCCCTGATATAATATTGCTCAAATTTGTCGCCCCTGCCTCTGTCTCGCAGTCACACTACACCATTAAATTGTTTTAAAAATAATAAAAATAGTAGGCTACTGTGAGACCTGTAGGAACTATTTTCTTTCAAAACTTCATATATTCGTTCTTCAGTCTGCTCAGTCTCGTGCCGTGGCTGCGGATGATCAGAGACAGGAGCTCGTGTTTGTCTTTCAGTCCCAGAGAAATGTCCAACGTGTCCTTCAGGACGTCCCGCGTGTGCACTATCATGTTCAGAAAGTCGTCGTTGAGCCGGTGCTCCTCCTTCAGCTCACTCTCCTGGCTCTGTTTGAATTTCACCTCCAGCTCCAGCAGGGATTTCTCAGAGTTTGTAAACGCCTCGCTTATCTGAGCCGTCTCCTTCCGCAAGTATTTCCCGTAGCTGTCCTCTCCGTCCAGGTCGTACGAGATGCTTTTCCCGATCCCCTCCAGCACCCTGGCCGAGTCCTCAATCTGCCTCTTGATGATGGTGAAATCATCCCGTATGACGGCGTCCTGGTCCTCAGAGAGACCGCACTTTCGCTCGTCGGTCATTTTAAAAAGCATCTGGCATTTCTCCGGGTCGTCGTTGTCCTCGTACTCACCGTCCGGCACGAAATAATGGTGAAAAGTGCCGTTAGACATCTCCGGATGTAAAGGTCCGGTGAAAAAACCTCCAGACGTCGGCAGTGATATCATCCCGGCACACAGGAGCAAGTGAAGAAAAGCCATGATTCCCCACTTGTCCCAAACACACTCACGAAATAGGCCTACGGAATATTTTGAGTTTTAAACGATAGTGCAGCGTAAGTATAAGCCTAATAGACTATCTCACTCCAACCCGGCGTAGAAACACAAACATGTCAATCAGGTTTAAACGTCCGAACTGCGCAGTTAGTTGAGGCTTTGTTGTAGCATTCACGGCCCCCTCAATGTCCTCTTTGTCCAAACAGTTTTTCAATGTATCTTCCTTCTGTTGGTGAACAGGACAGTAATGTATTTCAGCGTGGAAACAAGTTGTAGCCAACACCCGACTTCGCTTGGTGCCTCGAACGCAACATCTGGATGTCTCAAGTGCCGCGCATCGGTTTTTGGCTAATAATACCTCTCTGCTACTCTCAAATTACAGCCCCTCCGCCACTTAAAAGGCTGCATTCAGTCTGAAGGAGGCTACCAGCGGGGCCGAGCTGAGCCCCACTGAAACCAGGAAAGACCAAGTTTGTGTTAATTCACACAACCGTGACAAGTTGGCTTAGATGGTAAAAAAAAAAGTTATTAATTAGACCATTGAGAAATTCACAAGGGACCACAAAATACCTATAAAACCTGAAACCAGTGGTGGAATGTAAGAACTAAAGTAGGCAATGTACAATTTTGAGGGACCTACTAGCCTTCTTTGCTTGAGTTTTCCACTGTATGATACTTTATACTTTTATTCCACTACATGTCTACTTTTTACTCCACTACATTTATTTCAAATTAATACGCAGTATGATCAACTAATAAATTACGAGTTGAAATCAGCACAGTCTTTGCCAGCTGCAAAACTGAAGTGATTACACATGAATGCATTACTATTTATAGGCTAATCCAATAATATAGCCTATTCATTACTCTGAAATAGGCTATTCTGAATAATGAGTGCTTTTACTTTTACATTCAAGTACATTTTGATGCTAATACTTTTGTACTTTGACTTAACATTTTGAATGCAGGACTTTTGCTTGAAACACAGTTATTTCTGTGTTCTTTATAAAAGATCAGAGTAACCTACTCCTTCCACAACTGAACCTAATCCAACAGTCCTTTAATTATAGCCTTTTATAAAACTTTAATACCTGATGACATACATGTGG